AATGAAAATGTACTTTTGTCTTCATTTGATTAATAAACTGATGATCTAGCCTGGCTACGGGTACTCAAAAAAAAAAATTAGATTGTAGTTTATTAATCAATTAAAAATATAAGTATATTTTTACTTAAATAATATAATACATATTATAGCTAAATATTTTTATTAAATTTAATAAACTCATTGTAAGCAATAATAGTTACTAAATTTAGTCTAAAGTTTTTACTATTATTTCTAAATTAAAAACTCTTATATTATTATAATATAAAAAAAGTATTTGAAAATTTTAATTTTTTAAGTAGTTAAAGATATATATCTGTAAAATTTTTTTAATTAAATATAACTATTAAAAAATATAGTATTGGATTAATATGATAGATATACTTAATTCAATTTCTATCAAATTATATAACTTAAGATTTATTAAAAACCATTAGTTTATTATAGATAAATATGAAATTATTACTTAAAATAATTTAAAACTAAAAATATTTTTGAAAATAATAAATGATAAGTTTTCTTAAATAGTATATAAGAAAAAAAATCAATATTATGAATAGATAAACTCTTAAAATGATCAAAAAAAGAAAGAATATTTCAATAAAAGTATTAAGAAGTTTCAAAAACATTGAATTTTTTAAAAAATATTAGACTTTTTTTACATTTAATTTTTATTTTCTTGTAAGCACACTTGTACAATTTTATATCCATCTTTTTTTTTATTTTTTATTTTAATATGTTTTTCATTTTGTTTAACAATACAAAGAACAATTAGATTTGATAATTAGTTAGTGAGCAACTAAAAAAGTATTTACTCAGAATACATATAAAGTATTATATTGTATCTTTGTTAGTATTTCATAATCAAAAATTGAAATCAATATTTTATAATATTCGATCAAATATAAATAATTGTTCCATTCAATGTACAGTATATAGGTTTTGTTGCAAACTTTAAAAATAAAACTCTTTAATTTACTTAACCGATCGAAACTTTAGAAATAATATAAAATTTAAAGTCCTTAATTCTCAAGTCGTGCGTCGTGATATACCCAAAGTCTCAAACCAAAAAGTCTTAAAATTAAAGGAAAATTTACATGAACAATTAATATGTAATGATTCTGTACATGGAACGTTTATTTATCCTTTCAAATTTAGCGATTCTGATAATTAAACTTTAATTAGGTCAAGCTAAAAGACAATAATTCACATTTATCAATAAGTGCGACGAACAAGGTTATTATTGAAATTAATTTTTTATTATTTATTTATTTTTTTATTTTTTATTAGCTTTTATAATTTTTTTTATATTATCTTCTATCCTTATTTTTTTTTTTTATTTTATCAAGTGAATTTTAAATATTCGCAAAAGAATTATCATTCGAATATCCAAATAGAAAAAAGATAAATTTGCTGTTCATGATTTTTCACGTTTTTAGATTAATATCGGTCGTCGGTTTCACCTTTAATATCTTAATTCTCATCGTTTTCTTCCTCTTTAACCTTTACTTTATTCTCGGTGCTTTCTCCTTCCTTTTCCTTTCCTTTATTTTCATCGTCCCCTTCTTTTCCTTTATGTTTTCTTTCTTTCTCCTGTTCTCTAAGTAAAATTTCAACTACATGACCAATTCTTCCGTTAAATCTTTTTAATAATCTCTCATAGTAAGAATTATTTTCAGGAGTAAATCCCATCGAGTTTAGAAGAGCAACTTTTTCTGCAAGCTCTTCAGGAGAAAGTGGCTTATTGGGGTGATGATGGGGAAAAGGATGTCTTCGGAATACACCATGTCCATGTCCATGTGCATAACGATGTAAACGCGGCCCACTTCTGCCTAATCTATGCCCTCCTCGGGAGTTAAAACCACCGCGATGATTTCCGAAAACTTCACTCAAGTGTTGCAAATTAAGTCTGTGCCTGCCATGTTTAGATCTGCGGCCATCATCGAAACTTTCGCTTGAATAGTCTTGTCCGAACTCTGATTCGGATTCGTGCATACTATGTTTAAATCTACGACCAGCATGAAAACGTCTAGAACTTGAACCCGATTCGTAATCCGATTCGGATCCGTGACTACTATGTTCAAATCTACGACCATTACGGAGACCAAATTCATGTTTATGATGTTCGGAATGGTCGGAATAATATCCCAATTCCCTTTCGAATCTACTGCGAGGGCTATGTCCATGTTCGTGCATTCTAAACGGAGGGGATCCACTACGATGTTTATGGAGAAATTCTTTCACGCCTTCTTTACCTTCCAATCTCCCGCCATTCCTTCGAGACTGAAAATCCTCGCGGGGATTACGTTCGCGATTTCCAGGTTTCCTGCGATGAAATTGTTTCACGTCTTCGGTTTCAAATTTATCGTGAGGAACAAGGCCATGTGAGTGTTTCCGAGGATTGTAATTATGTTCTTTTTTTTCAAACCCATTGCGAGGACCACCTCGGGGCCTATGTCCGTGTTCCCGAGGAGGATAACAAGTGTTTTCTTCAATTTTAAATCCGCTACGGGGACCACCTCTGGGTCCATTTCCATATTCACGGGGGTTAAAACCATGAGGACGACGACTAGGTTTTCCATGGTGTCTTGGTTCGCGATGAAATTCTAACTCTGAACTAAGTTCGCGCCTTTCATGTGGGCTAGGGTTAAACCTACGAGGGCCATGACCGCGTTCGTCAATAAATTCTCTTCTAGGATTATGCACGAAATGTGGCCCATGCCTAAATTCTCGAGAATGAGGAGGACCACGGTGCACATCTTTTCTCTCAACTCTATCGTGAGGTCTTTCGTGTGGATCAACTCTGTGTGGCCTTCCATGAAGCATACCGAAACCTTTAGGACCACGAGGACCAAACGGTCCAAATAATCTAATCCTTTGTCCTCCGTGAGGATCATGCTTTCTACCTCCACGAGATATTAATAAATAAATTTCCGGTTCAGATCTGCTTTCATTCTCCAAATCTTGATTGCTAGTAGGTTGGTCAGCCGACGTACTATCAAAGAGGACATTCTTTTCTGCAAACGGTTCACCGATTTCGCTCTTATTGATTGTATTTGTTCCCATAATTGTTGTCAAATTGTTTAATGTATTATTTCTTTGGTAAGTGGTTTTATTTTTTCCAAAGTATTTGAAAGAAAAAGTTTGAATTTTAGAACTTTGGTTTGTGGCCTTTTTATACAATTTTTTTGATCGGCATCGGCTAAATTGCGGCTAATTTAACATCCGTGTCCAAAAGCCAAGGTTTCGTTTTTTTTGTTCAAATGACCGATCATGCGCATTTTGCCGAAATTCAGCCGCGAAAAGCCGTGCCATACGTCACATTTATTAATGCGCAGACAATCAAATTGATTAAATTCAATGTGTGAAAGTTTTATTGTGAATAATATTACTACTGCGGTTATTATCAAAGGATGACAGAAAGCTTCCTCGTTGATTTTAAAAATAGTTCCGTTTTTTACTATTTCATAACTTTTTTAGGAAAATGAAAACCGTTAAAATTGATACTAATTTTAAAAAGTTCGCTCATCACAGACAATAAAAAATATGATGCAAACGGAAATAATACTTAACATTGTCATACTATTAGTGTCCTTCGCTCCGGACAATTAATTAGTTAAAATTCTTATTAGTATACTTCTTTTTTTTTTTGTTTTCTCATAATAATGTAAAGGAGTTTGTATGATCTTTCATTATAATTATTCATTGTTTGAAATGGATTAATTACTTCCGTGCTTGATACTTCCAAATGTTATAAACGCCAATGTTTTCCAGTAGTAATATCCTAATTGTCTAGGTCTATGTAATAAATTCTTTTATACAAAGATACAGTATGTACAGTACATAGCATCATAGAAATAAAGCTACGGCGGCCATTATAATTGTCAAGAAAAAAACTACGTTCATGAAAGTCTCGTCGCATGAAAATTTTATAAATTTATTAAAACTATTTCCTATCGAACTCGCCTTTATTTCACTCGTATTTGTCTTTTCAATCATCTCTTCAACAGGTGGCCCGAAAAGGGTTTTATTCACTTTATCCGGGTTCATCCAAATAGTCAAAGGACCTGTAACTCCAAACACTGTATAAACACCCGAATTGATGATTCCCTCGGACTCTACTCTAATATAATATAATGATATATTTTTCACCGTGCCGGCCGAAATTAATGGGACTCTCCATATATATTCATATGCTTTAATATTGTTTGCAATATCTTTGGACCATTCACATTTAACTAGAGTTGAGCCGCCGTTGGTAGATTTTGGATCGTTGTGTAACGTAATTTTGAAATTGGTCAAAGGTATATTGGTGGTGGTTTGTGATGATTGAGACCAACGAATATAGACGTGGTAATAAGGTATCAATATGGAATATGGCGGTGGGGTGAAGATGTCAATGCCAAACATGTCTTGTTCATTCCATTTCTCGTGAATGTTGAATGGCGCATTTTTGTCCTTTAGAATATTTGTTTCTCCGATGCCTTTTGGAAGATAACTAGCAATTGGATTGCTAGGATCTGATGATTGAATATGTTGTACAATGAAAGATGCAAAGAGAAAAATTAGAGAAAGAAGTTTTTTGAGCGGTGGTATCATTGTTTTCAAATGCAGATTAGGATTCGTTTCTGGAAATTTTGTTTATATATTTCTAGTCATCCCAAAAATAGATGTTTCGATCAGTTAAAAAATTGATACCATCATTCAAAATTGATAGATCATATGTGGTTGACCTTTGATTAATAAGTGATCAGTCCAGGCTTCTATTGAGCTGCAAAAAAAAATATTTAAATTACCTAGTTTACTAATACCGGGGTGTAAAAAACATTTCAGTATTATCAAGAATTCTTCTTGAAGGCATGATCAATTTGATTATACTGTATTACATACAGATCGGTGACAATGAAAAAATTAGAATGTTACACGATGCCGACTGGTTTCGCGAGTCTTATTTACATCAAAATTTTATCTATTTGATATGAAGTTTTTAGCTTGAATATATATCAAAAATTTTGGACTTTTTATTAATATAATATATGCATCTAGTCAATAATATTTATTTTTAAAATATCTAATAATTAAATTAAATTAAATTTTAAATAATAATAACAATTAAAATTATAATAAGAAATTTAAAAAAAAGAATAGCTACTAATAGAGAATTTCTAAAATTTTAAATAGTTTGCATTAATTAAATTTTTTAAAATTTTTTAATTATAATTATATTTTTAAAATTTAATTATATTTAATAATTATTTATAAAATATTTTATCAAAAAGTTTTTATAAAATACTTTGATTATTGGATTATTACATTTGTTTTAATTTATATTTCAAATTTTAATATTTTAGTATTATTAATAAAAAAATTTTATCATTAATAAAAAAATTTTATCAAGATTTTTTAATAATAAGTTTTATTTTATTTTATTTTTAACTCACAATCATATCACAATAACTTGCCTTTATTGAAAAATTAAAATAAAATTTATAATAGGTTATAGACTTTCACAATGTGATCAACTTATCTTTATATATAAATGTTCTAGGTCAGATTTTGAAAACAATATTATACTCATTTAATAGATTGATTATAATCTCTATCTACCAAAATTATTGGCAATAGTTTGTCATTATTAATTGGCCTAAAAACCAATAAATTATTAAGCTAAAAAAAAAAAAAAACAAAACAAAACAAAAAGGAAGAAAAATACAGTTCAAGATCTACTAAAAAGTTCAAAAATAAAAAAAACTTTCTTTCAAAAAAATTTATTTAATTGGAATAGTTTTCTTGCTTCATTTAAACTTCAAAAAAAAATTTTTTTTTTTCATTTATAGCATCAAATAGATTAATTCAACTGGTCTTTTATTTAAACAAATATTAGATTGAGATATCTCAAGAAAAGTATTTGAATCTCAATCTTTTTTCATTAAAGTTTTGTTACCATCTAAGAAATCTAAGTAAAAAATAAAAGTCTATAATTCATATTATCTATTACTTGATTTTTGATATTATAAATATTTTTATTAAAAAAAACAGGATTCTGGAAATAAACATTTCTAGAATATTTTTTTAATAATCAATAATATTATTAGAATATATTAATATAATCAATTTATATTAATTAATCAGAAATAAACAAAAATTTTAAGAAAACTATAAAAATAAAAGCTTTAATAAGGATAAAACAGTTCAAAAGGAAGAAAATAAATCTTTTAACTACAACAAAACCTTTATAAACTTCTTACTTCAAAGATTAAAAAAGTCTTCAAGTACTTTACAATCAGTTTTTCTTTTTTTAAAACTTTTTTATTATTGATATTCAAATATTACTTGACTTTTTTTGATTATTAGAAGTCAAATTTTTGAATAAAGAGATCTGTAAACAATAAATTTTAAAAATAGATTTCAAATTATTTTAAAGAAAATAGTAAAATATTATTGATAGAAAAATAAAAAACTTCTTATAGATATCTTTTTTACATATAATCAAAGAATTAATGAAAAGAGTCTTTTATTTTTTATTTTTTTTTAATAATAAGTTTTATTTTTTTATTATTTTTTTTTTTTTAACCCGCAGTCAGGTCAATATGGCTTGTCCATTTTATTGTAAACATATTTGGTATTTACATATTTTATGACTTTCACATA